ACACACACGTATTTTTGCTTCTATTAGTCGGAAAACTGATCTAAAAGACTATAATAAATGTAGGAGTATCCAAAAAGCTTGTCATCCTTGCATAGGGCAGGCCCACTCCTGCTTCAGGGCTAAGCGCTGGCTCTTCCCTCTGTCTGGGACGCTGTCCCTTAGATAGTGCTTTGACTCCCTCCCTTAGCCCTAAAGTCTTGGCATAAATGTCACCTTTCCAGTGAGGCCTTTCCTGAAGACTCTATTTAAAATTACAAACGTTTCCCCTCCCATGCTATTCTCTATTTCCATACTGTTGCTTTTATTTTTTCCCTAAGGTTTACCATTTAAATACTAAGTATTTTACTTATTCATTATGGTGATTGCCTGTCTTCTTCTCACTAAAATACAAGTTCCTTCAGGGCAGAAATGTGTTTTGTTCATTGCTCTATCCTTAGCACTTCGAACAGTGCCTGGCTTAATAAATAGTTATTGAATGAAGGATTCCTCATGTTCAGATCAGTCTGGCTGCCATTGAGGGAGCAGGAGTATAAGTGGGAAGTCCAGTCAGGTGAATACGGAAATACCTGGTTGAGAGGAAGGAGTAGCTTAACTGTTACACAGGAAATGGAAGCAATAGAAAAGGAGAAAATAAATAAATCCACTTGTCCTAGGAAGAGCGGGACCTGCTGCCCAACCCCCCACACCCAGCCCCATACTCTGCAAGCTCTTGGCCTCACTATGGCCTGTTCCAGCCATAAATACTGAAGGACCTGTGCTGTCCCAGACCCCTTGATCCTGGGGACTCTTGCTCATGTCCTGATGAGTACCAAAATTGTATAAATCCTATCAGTTGACTAGGCATTCTAAGACAATAAGGAATATGGGCCGTCACTCAAAAGCCCTGGTTAGGGGCTGGCCCCGTGGCGTAGCGGTTAAGTACGCGCACTCCGCTGCTGGCGGCCCGGGTTCGGATCCGGGGCGTGCACCAACGCACCGCTTGTCAAGCCATGCTGTGGCAGCATCCCATATAAAGTGGAGGAAGATGGGCACAGATGTTAGCCCAGGGCCAGTCTTCCTCAGCAAGAAAAAAAGAGGATGATTGGCATGGATGTTAGCTCAGGGCTGATCTTCCTCACAAAAAAAATAAATAAATCCCTGGTTAGGCAAAAAGGCAAGGCAGAGAGCTGTCTATTGCTTAACATAAAATAATAATGGTAATAATAACAGCTAACAATCATTGAACCCTTATTATAGCCAGGCATAATGCTGTGAGCATTACTGAGTCCTCATTTAAAGAGATAACAAAATGGCAAGGATCTGAAATGTCCAATACAGTTCTTGACCCTAGAGCTCAGGTTCCAGCCCACAACATTTCACTAATTCTGAGTAAAGCTACCCTAACGATTTTATGTTTTCCAAAGAGACAGTCATGTAATCTGGGGAAAATAAAATGTCCTCCCCTCTCAGTTGTCTACTTTTTATTAGTCACACTTTTGGAACAATATTAAATAGTAGTGGGAATAATAAACACCCTCTCCTTGATTGGTATTAGTGTGAATTCTTGTAGTGTTTTATTTTTATGGCTGGTACAATACTAATATTTTTGGTTTTGAATCAGGATTGGAGGTTGGATATTATCAAATACTTTTGAAGTATCTATCAGGTTGATCATATGTCCTTTTTTCCATAATGTATTAATATGGTATTAATATAGTCCTAATAGTGAACATTCTGGAATTCCTGGATAAATGCTTTGTTCAAATTGAATATTTAAGTAACATTTCAGGAATGGTTTAAGAGTACTGTAATTACTGAATCTTTCATGTTTAAGAATGTGTTTTGGTTTTCTTCACACATGTGTAGAGTACTGGCCATGTTGAATTCTTGAGTCATATCAACCAATTATTTTTAAAATTTGTAGGTAATCTACTTTTTTTCCTTAAGTAGCAAGTCTTCAGAATTAACTTTTAAATTAGGTCTCTCAATTCCATGAAGATAGAATGAGTCTTACTATTAAGTTTTCTGCAGTACATAAAGATGTTTCAACTTAAAATGATTAATATTTTCCAAAATAGCAGATATTTTGCTGTTCTTCTCATTTGTTTTTTGAAATATTATATATACAGAAGAATGTATAAAACATAGGTACTATTTAACAAAAACCTACATACTCTTCTACTATAAATATTAACTAATTTTTGTTCTTATATCAACACTATGAGATAAGGTAGCATTTAACAGATGAGGAAACTGGAGCACAGACAGGTTAAGTAACCTGCCCAAGGTCACACAGCTAACAGTGATGGAGAATAAAGGTAGTCTGGCTCCAGAGTTGTCATCTTAACCATTATGCCATACTGCTTCTTTTTGTACTTAATAATGATAAAGATTAGTGAATAATAAAGAAAGCAAACTCCCAGGTACCACACCCCAGAGTAAGAATCAGAACATTGCTAGTATCTGAGACACGCTCTGTGTGCGCCTCGTCATTCCCATCCTCTGACCTCTACCCAAAACATAACTGCTATTCTCGCTTTTGTGATAATTCCCTTCCCTTGCTTTTCTTTATAGTATTGCCATCTGTATATGAATCTCTAAACAATATTTAAAATTCATCTAAATGGACTCTTAATATATATATTTTTCTTTTATTTTGCTTAAATTATTTATTCATCCATATTAATGTGTTAGCTTTAGTTTATTAATTTTAACTGTCTTAGTCAGTTTGGGCTGCTGTAACAGAATACCATAGACTACATGGCTTAAACATAAAACATTTATTTCTCACAGTTCTAGAGACTGGAAATCAGGGTGCTAGCGTGGTCAGGTTCTTGGGGAGGGCCTTCCTCCTGGTTCATAGATAGCTGCCTTCTTGCTGTATCCTCACATGGTAAAGAGCAGAGAAGCAGCAAGCTCTTCTAGTCTCTTATAAAGACACTGATCCCATTCACAAGGGCTCTACTCTCATGACCTAATGACCTCTCAAAGGCTCCACCTCCTAATACTATCCCATGGGGCATTAGGCTTCAACAGATGAATTTTTGGAAAACACAAACATGAAGTCCATAACATTCACTGTTGTCAGTTATTCCATTGTATAAATATTTGACAGTTTAATTATCCATTGTGTTGTTGATGGATATTTGGGTTGTTTCCAATTTTTTGCTATTGTGCACAATGCTACTTTTAAAATTGTGAATCGTGGTATACCTTTGCAAGGTATACTAGGTATACTTGGTATAGTATACCAAGTATACTAGGTATACATACCTAGTAGTGGACTTGCTAAACCATTCAGGTTCCCATTTCTTAAGTCCTATTCAAGTTTTTTGCCCATTTTTCTAATGGATACTATAGATACTGTTTTCCAAGTCTAAGTTCTAGTTCTTTGTGGGTCATGTGTTGCAAATATCTTCTCCCAGAATGTAACTTTTTTTTTCTTACTTTCTTTATAGTGTCTTTTGATGATTGGAAGCATTTAATTATTCTTCCAACGTTTATTTGCTTTTAATTTTTATGCTTTTTTCTTCTCGTTCTGTTTTTATTATTTTAAAAATTTATCTCTTGAACTTATTAGTTTCCAAACTTGATATTTTCTGTGTATCACTCATCTTTGGACAGAGGCAGTTCTGCCTGGACTTTTTATTTGTCTAACAGTGTGAATGGATACCCTTTGCCCTTCATGTTGTTTACTGGGTAGCATTTTGAATGTTCTCAGAGAACTTTAGTGGATAGCTGGATGTGCTGATAGTGAGGGGGGCAGTGGCCACCTCTAGTTCATGTGCTGCCTATTATTCTCCTACTTGATGGAATAGGTCCTCTCTGAGGTTACTTGGTGGTGTATGTTTTGGAGGTGGAGCCTACTTAGCTTTCCACTTTTTCTCTTTTTTTAGGTAAGCAGGTCAGTTTGGAAGGAGGAGGTCCAGTTAATGCATGCCTCTTGTTCACAGCAAAGCCTCCTGCCCAAAGGCCTTTGGTTTGTTGGTTCAGTGTTGATCTCAGCTCTGCTGAGTTTGATCAGGCCGAGAAGCTGATTCTCAGACTACAGTTTCCTGTCCTCAGCCTCTCACTGCCTCCAGGCCGTTTTGTCTGGGATAAGAAGTCAGATCTGAGAAAATAAAGTCTGAATGGCTACAAGGTCCTTCCTTCAGCCCCCTCCCAAGCAGTTCATCAGATTCTCCCTTGCCTGCCCTTGCCACCAGTTCTCATCTTTAAGGAATAGATATTTAGGAAAGGGCAGGGCCCTTTAGGACTCTCTCTTGTGAGAAAATTACAGCCTGCTAAAAGTTTGCAGGGGAAAAGCTTTTACATAGTGTCATCCTCCCATAAGAGTTTAAGTTTCAAGTATGTTCTGGTATTTTATGTTCCAGACAAGTATGTTCTCAAAGGGTAGTTTATATACATTATCTTAACTTAATCTTTATCAGGTTATTTTTATCCTCATTTTATATCTGAAAACTCAGACCCAGAGAAACAAGCAACTAGTTAAGATGTAAGTGTTAACAGCCAGGGTTTGGACCCAAGTTTGTCTGACTCCAGAGTCAACCATCTTTTCACTGTCACACTGAGATGTTTTATGAAGATTTAGTGTCAGAATTATAGGCAGCATTGTAGGAGGGATGAGAATGGCAGGAACACCAGGCACAGTGTGGCAGGGCTTTCTGAGCTGCCTCATCCAATCCCGGCTCTTCTGTATATTTTCCCTTAGTTCCATCTTCAGTATTTAGCCTTGTCCAGTGGTCAATGATTTTCTTGTCTATCCTTCCTGCACAGGCTCACTCTTTTCTCTGCTTATCCCATGTCTAGCTCCCCTATTATTTATCACTGGTTCACTGTTCCTTTGTTCTGGCTCAGTTTCCCTCCCTTCCAGTTCTCTTCCTACTTGTAGGAACATCTTTGAAAGCTCTCAAATGTGCCCTACAGTTATTCTCAGTTTTATTCTCTCATTCCCACCTAATAGAGTTTTCAGTCTCCCAGCTCAGAAACAAATGTGCATTTGAATTTTTTATTTTTTTCAGACTGGGAGACACAACTTGAAACCAAAGAATCAACTACAAGGCCCTGCATTACTGAAGATTTATCCTATGGGGTAATAATGGAAAGGGAAGGTCTCTGGCTTTCTTCTTTAGGGGAAACCTGGGAACATGATAATTGGTTACAGGGGCAACAGAAAAACCAGGATAGACATCTGGGCCAAGTGGCAGTTACCCGTAAGGAAACCCCCACTGAGAGAAGGGTGTATGGAGGTAATGAATTTGAAAGATGTTCCAGTCAGGGTTCAATCCTTGATACACAACAAAGTATTCCTATGGGAGAAAGGCCCCATAATCAGAATTCACATGGAAAAGACTCCAAACAAAATTCTGAATTAATAAAATCTCAAAGAATGTTTGTAGGAAAGAAAATCTATGAATGTAATGAATGTGGAAAAGCCTTCAGCCAGAGCTCGTCCCTTCTTAAGCACCAGAGGATTCATACTGGGGAGAAACCCTATAAGTGTAATGTATGTGCAAAGCACTTCATTGAACGCTCCTCCCTTACTGTACATCAAAGAATTCATACTGGAGAGAAACCCTACAAATGTAATGAATGTGGGAAAACCTTCAGTCAGAGCATGAACCTAACTGTTCATCAAAGAACTCATACTGGCGAGAAACCCTATCAGTGTAAAGAATGTGGAAAAGCTTTCCGCAAGAATTCATCCCTTATTCAACATGAAAGGATTCATACTGGCGAAAAACCCTACAAATGTAATGAATGTGGGAAAGCTTTTACCCAAAGCATGAATCTCACAGTACATCAAAGAACTCATACAGGAGAAAAACCCTACGAATGTAATGAATGTGGAAAAGCCTTCAGTCAAAGCATGCATCTTATTGTCCATCAGAGAAGTCACACTGGAGAAAAACCCTATGAGTGTAGTGAATGTGGAAAAGCCTTTAGTAAGAGTTCGACTCTTACCCTGCATCAGCGAAATCACACTGGAGAAAAACCCTACAAGTGTAACAAATGTGGGAAATCCTTTAGCCAAAGTACATACCTAATAGAACATCAGAGACTTCATTCTGGGGTAAAACCTTTTGAATGTAATCAGTGTGGAAAAGCTTTCAGTAAGAATTCATCCCTTACTCAACATCGGAGAATCCATACTGGAGAGAAGCCGTATGAGTGTATGGTATGTGGAAAACATTTCACTGGGCGATCATCCCTTACTGTACATCAAGTTATTCATACTGGAGAGAAACCTTATGAATGCAATGAATGTGGAAAGGCCTTCAGCCAGAGTGCTTACCTTATTGAGCATCAAAGAATTCATACTGGTGAGAAACCCTATGAATGTGATCAGTGTGGAAAAGCCTTCATTAAGAATTCATCCCTTATAGTGCATCAGAGAACTCATACAGGAGAGAAACCCTATCAGTGTAATGAATGTGGAAAAGCCTTCAGTCGGAGTACAAACCTTACACGACATCAGAGAACTCATACGTGAGGAAAGTTTTCACTGGACCCATGATTAATTCTTCAGTGATAATCAGATAAGTTATGTAATGTAGAAACCTAATTAATGTAATAATTGTAGGCATCTTTGAGTTGAAGTACAATATACCATATCAGATAATACAGACCACTGCAGAGAAACCATATGAAAGTGGAGAAATCTTGATTCAGAAATTTAAAACTTCCTTTATCTCAGGAGGTTTAAGTAGCTAATGTTCTAAACAATGAGGATTCATGCTGAAGATAAGTTCTGTTGTATCATACTGCAGATTCTCCTCTGGACATCAGAGACTTCACACTGGAGAGAAAACGTGCGAGTGCTTAACTGGACAACCCAAAGACCTGGTATGTAGTCCTGACCTGCCACTAACTTGGAAAAGTCACCTACTTTGACCAGGTCACAGTTTCCTTATCCGGTAAATGAGAGACTTGAGACTTACAAGGTCTCCAGGATCCGTATTAGCTCTGAAATGCTACAAACCTATAAATATAATGAATGCTGGGAAATCTCTGATCTTTTACAATGTTATATATGTTATCTAGATGCTCCTATTCCACAGTCTGGTTTCCCTGGATGTTCTGAGACAAAATGCTCTACCTCTACCAACTCCTATTATTCCTCCATTGCCCTTCCCTGCATTGTTATTTTCTCCCCTAAAATACAGGCTGGTTGCTACTAGGTGATGGAGTAATTGTACAAATCTTAATGCAATAGCATGCTGTTTTGAGTTCTCAATTAACAGTCATTAAACTGTTAAATAAGCTAATTATTTAGAAAACAATGTAACTTACAGTTTTAAGTACAAAGGATTCAAAATACCTATCTCAGTGTCATACTCTTATCAAAGTGGAAAGGAGAAGAGTGAGGCTGAACAATAATAGATCTGAAAATTTGACATATTAACAAAATCTTTGCAGCTGAAAACATAAATCATAAGGAGATTTTATAGATCTATAGTTATGATAGTAGTTAAGACAATCTCATTTATTTAACATTTAATAAGTGCTATATGTGCTAGACATGATTAGAAAATCAAAATGAGTGAGACATATTCTTTGTTTTCCAAGGCCTAACCTAAGAAATTGGCAGTGGGATGGGAGAGCAAAGGAAGAATTCAAGCAATAATGAGGCAGAATCTAGATAACATGGTAACTGATTAAATATGGGCACCTGAATTTCTTATTTGATTGGATAGGGGTGCCATAATTAAAAATACATAAAGGTAACCAATTGTGTGGGGCAACGATGAGTTGATTTTCGGCGCATTTTGCTGAGTCTGTGGGTATCCAAGTGAAGACTCCTGACAAGCAGGAGACTAAGTAGAAAGGCAGTGATAAAAGGTACCCTGGGGAGGACTGTCATTGAATGGGTAAGTGGAGGAAGTGGAAGCCGCAGAAGCTGAGAGGAAACAACAGCCAAAAGAAAAACAGAAAGAAAAATCAGGAGAGGGTGGTAGCACAGAAGTAAAAGGAGAATTTTAGCATATGGATAGGAATAGTTACTATTTTCAAATCCCAGAGGGTTAAAGTAAAGTGAAAATAGAAATATAGCCTTTGGTTTTGGTTCTTGATACCCTCTGTAAATTTTAGTGGATTGAAGAGTGAGTTAAAGGTTGAAAAGGACTTAGCTTGACGGAGAAAGAAGAGATTTAGAAAGATAACTAGAGGGAGATTGGGGTTGAGAGAGGGTCTATGGATTAGAAAAGATTTGGCTGTAAATAATAGAAAGCCCAGTTAACAATGGTTTACAAGCAAATAGAGATTTATTTTTCTCACATAACAAATCTGGAGGTGGTTGGCTTTGGTTCAGAGACAAAATAATTCAGTGCCTTGAGTATTCCATCATGGTCACATGATGATGGCTGCCACAGCTTCAGGTAAGGTATCTGCATTCAAGGCAAGAAGAAAGGAAGTGGGTAGCACCTGCGACATCTGTGCCTTTTATCAGAAAATGTTTTCCCAGGAGCCCCTCAGCAGACTTCTGCTTACACCTCATTGACCACTGCTGTGTAACATGGAGGCTAGTAGTAAAGGGGACTGAGAAAATAAGTGTTTAGCTCTTCTAGCCTCTATGGTGGAGGCAGGCAATGAAAAGGGGGTTTGAGAACGGTGCTGATGTAGCCAACCAACAATCTGCCAGAGAGTGTGTATGATTTAAAGTAGAAGAATTGAGCACGTTTATCACTGAAAAGAAGAGGCATGGGAGGGAATGGGTAGCTCAAAGTGGGAAAATAAGATTTGGGGCACAGGCAGAGACTATAGGAATCTTTTTCGCCAGGAGGAGGAAAACTTGCCACTGGGAGAGGCGGGAATCAATGATGGGCGCAGATGTCTGTGGGTGGCAATGGAGGAGGTTCCCTATGGACCCTGAGTATTTGGACCTTGAGCAGTTCAGTCTCTTTGGGCTATGGAACCTCTATGGTCTAACTCTTGGAGTTAGAACAGGCAAGGACAAAGGGGGAATGAAACACTGAATTAATTGTATCCTTAGAAACTTAGGTTTTTAATAATGTATCTCCCTTACACCTAGTTTCTTCCTTTCCCTTCACTTATTTTTCTTGTTCCCCTCCTGATCTCAAGAGATAGAAATGGAAAGGAAGAATAAAAGGGACAGAGATAGGTAGACAATAGATGAAAGTGATAAAGACAGCAGCAAAATAAAGGCTTGAAAGGAAGGCAGAGGACAATGGGGAGAGGGAAAATGAAGTGTATTGAAGCCTAAGATGGATGCAATAACTCAAAATCAGTAAAATATTAACCCTTAGAGCTCACACCAGAAGAAATGGGTCAGATAAATGGAGGTTTCACTTCTTTTTTCAGGAGTTTTGGAAGCCTTCAGCCCTTGTATGTCAGTTCTCAGCAGTCCTGGGCAGGAAGTAAAGGGAACAACCTTTGCACCTTTCCTCTGTCAGCAGGGGCAGGGCTTCCGGTTCCACTTCCTAGACATGAGAACTCAGGCAAGGCACTTCACGTATCAGTGCCTCCGTTTTCGTATTTGTTAATAGTGCAAACCTCACAGCTTTGGATTACATTCAGTACTAATGTAAAGTGCTTACAAAAGTGCCCAACATGTAGTTAGTGCTGAATAAATGTTATATCATCATCCTCATATACCTGAAAACAGATTATCCAAACTCCTTAGCACGGCATCCAGAACTTTAATTCTCTTAGAATCACTAGACTCTCAAAGCAGATGCCTTGTAGACAGCTTATATAACTGGGGGAGGCTGTCCCTCCCCTGGACAGTGGTCAGAACCTCCTACCTGGTTTCCCTGGATTCCCTCCAGCCCCACCACAGTCCGTTCTCCACAGCTGACCAGTGATTCTGTTGGAATGTGCTCAGCCGAGCCACCCTTGTGCTCACACCCCTTCAGTGGTTTCCCATCACACAGAGTAAATCCAATGTGTCTACGATGGCCTTCAAGGCCCCTTCTTACCCCTGCGACCTCATCTCCCACTCCCCTGTTCACCAAGTCCTCTCCACTCAGACTGGCCTTGCTGAGCCTCAGACTCACCAGGCCCACTTCTATCTGCATCTCTGTTCCCTCCCCTTTAGACGCTCTTCCCAGATATTCACATGGCTTCCTCCACTGTATTCTAGTCTCTGCTCAAATGTTACCTCCTCAGAGAGAACTTCCGAACCCCACACCCAAAACCTTAACACAGCTTCACTGTCATCACTACCTGATAAATATTTTGTTTTCTATTGACTCCTTCCCCCAGTAGAATTAAATCTGCATAAGCTATTTCTCCAGCCCCGAGAACTGAGTGGCTCCAAGTGGCTACAGAATGAAATCGTCAATAAAACCAAAACCAGATGCCATAGTGTCACATAAAGTCACCGTCACTGCTTCCTAAGGTGGCCAACACAGACCTCAGGCACATTCTTGGCTTTTTTGTCACCACCGACAAAGTTAAAACCCTCTCATTTCTCCTTCCTGAGCTCCATGAAAATGTGTTCAAGTGCAAGGAACATCTCCCGTCGGATGCTTCCATGTATCGCCTCGTCCTTGCCTCCCTGCGAACTGCCGTCCACAAAGATAAACACCGCCTTCTCCTTGAAGCTGTCCGAGAGGCCCTGGCCTCCAGCCCCTCCCGGGAGGCGCCGAAAACCGCGTCTGCCCCACCTGACGGCCGCGCTCGGGGCCGGCCACCCCCGGCTCCAGCCACCGCCCCGACCCCCCGAGTTGGCCCTCGCTCGGCATGACGCCCCGTCCTGTCCCCACAGCCCGTGTCGGCCCTCAGCACCCCTCCCCCGCTTCGGCCCTCAGCCCGACGCCCCGCCCTGCCCGGAGCCGCCCCCCAACCCCGCGTCGACCCTCGGCCCGACGCCCCGCCCTGTCCCGCAGCCCCCACCCCCGCGTCGGCCCTGGGCCCGACGCCCCGTCCTGTCCCGCAGCGCGCCAGGCCGCCCGCCCCCGGCCCGCACTGAGCGTTGTTTGCGGCCCCGCCGCGTTCCCAAGTCCTTTCTGCGCGGTCCCCCGTCTGGAATGCGCCTTTCTGGCTTGTCGCCTCCTCCGTCCTCGGGGGCCTTCCCCGATCCTCTGTCCTCACGGATCAGGCGCTGCTCCTCCGGACTAACCTTTCCCATCCCACGGTCAACTTTTCTCTAGTCTCTATCTTCTTGGGCGTTTTTTCTAGGCAGAGACCGAGTCCAAGACTAAACAGAACAGAACCAAATCCGCATGTGCGGGTTAGCGCAAGGGGACTAATCTGAAAGGAGCAACGGGGGCGCCCCGCCGAGGCCCCTGGGAAATGTAGTTTCAGCAGCGAAAACCGCTAGCCCAAGGTGGGGTGCCGCGGAGGGGGCTGAAGGGTGCCCTGTTTGCGCAGGCGCGCAATGTCACGTTCTCGGCCGGCGCTGTTGCGGGCGGTCGCGGCCGATTCGCCCTCTGGGAAGTGGAGTCTGGGAAGCAGGGTGCTGCGGCCCTCGGTCTTGTGGGCGTTCAGCTCTGCGGTTCCCAGGGCAACGCGCAAGCGCAGTTCAGACCCGGGCT